AGATAGGGAAACAGTGGAAACAGTGAGAGACTTTATTTTCTTGGGTTCCCAAGTCACTGCAGATGGTGCCTGCAGCCATGAAATAAAAAGATGCCTATTCTTGGAAGAAAAGCTATGACCAACCTAGACAGGGTATTAAAAAGCAGAGATACTACTTTGCCAGATATTACTTTGCTAGATATTACTAGAGGAACAAAGGTCCCTCTAGTCAAAGCTATGGTTTTTCCAGTAGTCATGTATGGATGTGAGAGTTGGACTGTAAAGAAAGCTGAGCACCGAAGAATTGATGCTTTTGAACTGTGGTGTTAGAGGACTCCTGAGAATCCCTTGGACTGCAAGCCCCAACCAGTGAATCCTAAAGGAAATCAGTCCTGAATATTCATTGGAAGGACTGATGCTGAAGCATCACCTGATGCAAAGAACTGTCTCATTGGAAAAGACCCTGATGCTGTGAAAGATTGAAGGCAGGAGGAGAAGATGATGACAGAGGATGAGATGGTTCAACAGCATCACTGACGCAATGGACACGAGTTTGACTGGGCTCTGGGAGTTGGTAATGGACAGGGAACTGTGGCGTGCTGCAGTCCATGGGGTCTCAAATAGTCGGATACAACTGAGTGACTGAACTGAACTCTTAGGAAATGTAGTGTGAGAACTCAAAGAAAGAAAATTATTTCCAGTTTCAGAAATCCAGTAAAACATCATGAGTTAACCTTGGTAAGCAAGGATAGGAACAGAAATTTCCAGGGAGAAGGTGAAGTCTCATCCCAAAGGAAAGTACCAACAGTAGTGGGAAGGGAGAGAACACACAAGAGATTTGACATTTAGCAAATACTCCACTTTTGCTAGACCTCATGTCTGAGACATGACTGGAAGGGGATATGTGGTCAGGATGAGGAAAGATTTTGGACAGCATGTTAAGGTGCTTGGATTCCATTCTGTAAGCAAAGGGGAAACACTCGAAAGTTTCTGTAAAGAAAAATCACACAATCCAATGTTTGCTTGAGAAGCTAACTACACAACATGTGAAAAACATATCAAAGACATGAATTCTGTTGTCACAGAGAATAATTCAGAAAACATTTTAATAGTCTGGGGTAAGGTGATAACCTCCTGAACAAGAATGGTGGCAGCAGAAATAGAAAGGGAGGCAACAGATACTCTGAACTGCTGAATAGACAAGTTTCAGTGACTGATCAGTCAGTAAATCAGTTAACAATGTAAAGGAATAGTTTACAAGCCACATTTACTTTACTTCAAATGTCAACTACTGCATTTTTTACCACAAAGCCCAGATACTCCCGCAAAAGCCCTTCTAGGTGCAACTTCAGGGAGCCAGCATTTACTAACAACTAACCAGTTAACACAACACTGAATCCATTTGCCTTCTCCACCATAAGCCCTAGATTTGCCACAGAGTTATAAATGGTGAGGGGAGGGAGAAAATGGTAACATGTTACAAAAGCAAATTGCAAAAAGGTACAGCTATCTATTAATATCAAACATTCATTTTCAGGATGAAGCAAGCTAGCTGGAGATCCCTATTGAGAGGAAAACTAGAACAGCAACAACAGAACTTGGCATCCCTGAGGGAGAATATTAAGTAAAACGAGGGCTCTGAAGTAGAAAGTAGTTAACATTATTCTAAATCTACCAAAACATTCCTCTAAAAACTCAGACACTAGAATTAGAGCCTGTTTTCATTTTTTTTTTTTCATTTATTTTTATTAGAGCCTAAGTTTTCAAATGTGCATTGACGATCACAACATTTCCTTAAAACAGCATGTTTACACTTGATTTCAAGGTTCTCTTCTGGCTGATGCCCCCAGGTGGCTTACACTGTAAAGAACCCTCCTGCAATGCAGGAGACCTGGGTTCAGTCCCTGGATAGGGAAGATCCCTTGGAGGAGTGAAAGGCTACCCACTCCAGTATTCTGGCCTGGAGAATTCCATGGACAGAGTAGCCTGGTGAGCTACAGTCCATGGGATCACAAAGAGTCAGACAGAACTGAGTGACTAAAACACACCATGTCCCACAACTAAAATCATAGATGCTATTATTATTAAGCATGTGATATTATTAATAATTATTAAGTTTCAGGTGACATATCAAATCAACTAGAAAAAGAATTCAACCTTCCATAGGAACAAATGCCCAAGAAGTGGTGCGATTGTCAAAGGTCATAAAACCAGTGTCAGAAACATAATGAAAACTCACGAATTTCCACTGTACTTGCTGACATATTCTGTGAGGAAACAAAGTCATATAAAGGACATTAAAATGGCAAAATGACTTAAGTGAAACAAATAAACTGAAACCATTTAATTTAAATTATGAGGCAAATTTTGTGGTTG